ACTAATGTCAGACCTCTTATTTGAAACAATGTAAGCAAGGAAAGAATGGGAAAATATATTCAAAGTGTTAAGTGAAAAGCAATTTCAAACAAAAACACTGCATCCGGCAAGATTATCCTTCATGTGGGACAAAAAGATAAAAACATTCTCAGATAAATAAAACCTGAAAGAATTTACCAACACCAGACCATCTCTTCAAGAAGTTCTGGAGAGATTTTCGCTATAGGGTGCATGCACTCACCAGACAGACAGAGAGAGACATAGAGACAGAAAGTGAGAAATCACCCCCCAGGGGGGATGGTCACGCCGCAATCCCTTCTCCTCCATTCTCCTCTTGGAATCTTGGGCACGCACGCACACGCACACGCACCCGGCGTGAGTTTTAAACCACTGGGTCCGGGACGCGAACCGCAGTCGACTACATGGGAGTCCAGTGACATAGCCATTACGCCAACTGCTTGTTCCCTCTTCAAGAAATTCTGAAGGGAATATTATACCAGGAAAACTAAAGACAGACAGAAAAATAAAAGAACAAAAATGACCAAGAAAAAGGTCAACGTAATATCAATAATAATGTTAAATGTTAATGAAAAGATCAGACCACAGTAACACTGCAAATTCAACAAAAGAGAGATTGCTGGAGACTGAACTGGTGAAATAGAATTCTATGACTTTTTTCTAAAACATTATTGATTTTCTCCTATGCTTTGTCTTCCAGATTTAAGGATTTTTGTTTTCTTTTATGTTGCTGGGTTCGGCAGTTTGTTAAAAAATAATTTAAAAAATTGAAACATAAACTTTTCTCCCTCTTGACCCCTTTGCAATTGGAAAATATCTGTGAGCATTCTTATTTTGTGGCAGGATGGTTATTTTCCTAAGTTCAATAATACAATAGTATCTGTTGCCTTGCATCAGAAATTGTATTCTCCTGGGGCTTTGTGCAAATAACAGACCAAATTGAGATTAACCTTTTTTTTTTTTTTTTCAAATAAGTTAGTATATACCTCTCTTTAGTAAAAGGGAGAATGGAGAGAGAAAAAAATTGTTTCAGAAGAAAATTACAGTGCATTTGTCACTAGAGTCTAGCTTTGTCCATACTTTAAGATCTTTTGTGAATCAATAAAATGTGAATAAAAAGTTTAGTCTGGAAGGGAAGGAGAGGAAAGGGGAAGGAAAAAACAGGTCAAAGTATGCTTAATTGACAAAAAATGAGAAGCTATTTGCTGATGATAATGTACATAGTAATATACTTGTCTTGACTGACATGCATGGTATTTGTGTAGGAAAAAGAAATGTATAATATAAAGACATGTGATAAAATGTAAATTTAAACAAATAGTTTAAAAAAAAAACCTGTAAATTTAGCATTCTATACCAAGAAAGAATATATTTTTAAAATGAAGTAGAATTTGAAAGCTAACTCTTCATTATTTCTAGACTTATTTTAAATAATCAAAACAGTGTGGTACTGGCCTAAAGTAGAGAAATAGAGTGACCAGCAGATGGTGTAGTGTTTACATTGCTGGACTCCCTCATATTTGACCCTGGTTCGAGTCCTGGACCTGGTGACTTAAAACTCATGTCGTGCCTGTGTGCATGAGTGGCCAAAATCCCAAGAGGAAAATGGAAGATAAGGGATTGTGGTGTGGCCACCCCCCCTGCGGGAGTGATTTCTCGCTTTCTGTCTCTCTTATATGAGCACCTGAGTCCTATTGCCAAAAAAAAAAAAAAAAGTAGAAAAATAGATCAATGAAACAGAGAATTTAGAAGTAAACCTGCACATATATGGACAAAAGTTTTGTTTTTTTTTTTTGAGAGATTTTCGCTATACGGCGCCTGTGCTCGCCAGACAGACAGAGAGAGACATAGAGACAAAAAGCGAGAAATCACCCCCCAGGGGGGATGGTCACACTGCAATCCCTTCTCCTCCATTCTCCTCTCGGGATCTTGGGCATGCACGCACACGCGCCCGGCATGGGTTTTAAGCCACCGGATCCAGGATGCAAACCGCGGTCGACTACGTGGGAGTTCAGCGACATAGACATTACGCTAACTGCTGGTTCCCGACAAATGGTTTTTGACAGTCGTGCAAAGCAATGGAAAAATAATGGCCTTTCCAATAGATGATGTTAAAACAGTTGGATACCCATATGCCCCCGAAATGAACTACAATCCACACTTCTTACTACAAACAAAAATTAACTTGAAATAGATAGATCATAGATGTAAATGTAAAACTTAAAACTATAAAACTTTTAGAAGAAGACATAGAAGAAAAAATCTTCATGATTTGAATAAGTTATAATTGTTAAGTGCTCTCCCTCTCTTTCTTTTTTTTTTTTTTTTGAGAGATTTTTGCTTTAGGGTGCGTGAGCTCACCAGAGACAGAGACACAGAAAGTGAGAAATCACCCCCGGGGGATGGTCATGCTGCAATCCCTTCTCTTCCATTCTCCTCTTGGGATTTTGGGCATGAACATACATGCACCTAGCATGAGTTTTAAGCTACCAGGTCTGAGACTCAAACTGCAGTTGACTATGTGGGAGTTCAGTGCCATAACCATTCTGCCATCTACTGGTCCCAAGTACTCTCTCTTTTGTTTTTTATTTTTTTTAATTAAAAAAATTTTTTTTATACATTCAATCACATTATTTAGCTTACAAAGTGAACATTTCAATATGTGAACATTTCTCCCCAGTCCTGTTGATCAAAATATCTTCAACAGATAACACAACACCTCCCCGTCCCGTCAATGCTCTGCGTCCATATCTCTCCTCCAATCCCAAGTGCTCTCTCTCTCTTTTTTTTTTTTTTTTTGGGGAGGTTTTTGCTGTAGGGGGCT